TTGAAGTTTCCAGCTCTTATTGTATTGGGGTCTGTCTCTCTGTCTCTTTAGCTCTGATAATATTTGCTTCATATATCTGGGCACTCTAGTGTTAGATGCATATTTATATTTGTAATTGTTATATCTTCTTGCTGAATTGACCCCTTTATCATTATATAATGACCTTCTTTGTCTTCTTTTATAGTTTTTATCTTGGATTTTCTTTTATATGTATCTTTTCTTTTCTTGAACATTTGCATGGGTTATTTTCAATGTAGGTGTCCTTATAGGCAAAGTATGTTTCTTGTAGGCAGCAGATCATTGGGTCTTGGTTTTTTTTGTTTTTTGTTTTTAATCCATTTACCTAGTCTGTGTCTTTTGACTGGCGTGTTTAGTCCATTTATATTGATTGATAAGGACTTATTCTTGCATTTTTTTTTTTACTCTTGCATTCTAGCCATGTCACACAGGCTAGAATGCAGTGGTGTGATCACAGCTCACTGCAGTCTCTCCTGGATTCCAGGGATCCTCCCACTTCAGCCACTGAACAGTTAGGACTATAGTCACATGCCACCATGTCTGGAATTTTTGTATTTTTTTAGAGATGGAATTTCACCATGTTGCCCAGGCTGATCTCAAATTTCTGGGCTCAAGTGATCTGCCCACCTCAGCCTCACTAAGTGCTATGGGAGCCAGCAGTGTCTGGCCACTCCTGCCATTTTAAAATGTGTTCTGGTTATTTTTTGCTTATCTCTTTCTTCTCTTTCCTTTTTGTATTCTTTTTTATGAAAATGATTTTTCTCTGGTGGTATGTTTTGATTTCTTTTTTTATCTTTTGTATTTTTTTTATTTGAGTGTACCATGAGGCTTACAAATAGCTTATAACCCAATATTGTAAACTGAAGATAACACCAATTATATAAACAAACTAACAAGCAAAGAGAAAACTAATAAAGACTTTAATATTCCTCTGGTTTTTACCTTCTTGTTTCTGTTTATCTTACTACACTGTATGTCTTGTAGCTGTAGTTATTACATGTTTTAGTCTTTCTGCTCAAGGTATAAGAAGTTTACACACCACAATTACAGTGTCATAATATTCTGTGTTTTTTCTTTGTATTTACTATTACTGGTAAGTTTTGTACCTTCACATGATTTCTTACTGCTCATTAAAGTTCTTTACTTTCAGACTGAAGAACTCCATTTAGTTTTTCTTCTTGGACAGGTAAACCCCTCAGCTTTTATTTTCCTGGGAAAATCTTTGTCCTTCATGTTTGAAGGATATTCTCACTGGATATACATACTATTCAAATTTTTTCCTTCAACTTTAAATATGTCATGCCATTCTCCTGGCCTGTAAGGTTTCCACTGAAAAGTCTGCTGCCAGATGTAGTGAGCTCCAGTGTTTGTTGTTTCTCTTCTCTTACTGCCTCCTAATGCAGATATGGCTGCAATGACCAAAAACTTAGATCACAACACCCAAGTCCCTCCAAATACCTGGAAAGCCTTCCCAAGAAGGATGAGTACAAACAAAACCAGACTGTGAAGACTCCAATAAATACTTACCTCTTCAATGCCCAGACACCAACAAACATCCACAAGCATCACAACCATTCAGGAAAACATGACCTCACCAAATGAACTCTCTTGCTTTATCCTTGACCTTTGGGAGTTTGATTATTAAATATCTTGAAGTAGTCTTATTTGGGCTAAATTTGCTTGGTGTTCTATAACTTTCTTGTACTTGAATATTGATATCTTTCCCTACGTTTGAGATGTTCACTGTTTTTATCCCATTTCTTTCTCTACCTCCTCTTTAAGGCCAATAACTCTTTGATTTGCCCTTTTGAGGTGATTCTCTAGATCTTGTAAGAGTGCTTCATTCTTTTTTACTGGTTTTTCTTTTGTCTCCTCTGATTGTGTACATTGAAATAGTCTGTCTTCAGGTTCACTAATTGTTTCTTTTTCTTGATCAGTTCCACTGCTGAGAGACACTGATGTGTTACTTTTCAGTATGTCAGTTGCATTTTTCAACTCTAGAATTTCTGCTTGATTCTTTTTAATCTCTTTATTAAACTTATCTGATAGGATTCTGAATACCTTCTGTGTGTTATCCTGAATTTATTTTTCCCCAGAAGAGCTATTTTGAATTCTCTGTCTGACTGAAAGGTCACATATCTCTGTCTCTCATTGACTGGTCACTGGCGCCTAATTTAATTCATTTGGTGACGTCATGTTTTCCTGGATGGTTGTGATGCTTGTGGATGTTTGTTGGTGTCTGGGCGTTGAAAAGTTAAGTATTTATTGTAGTCTTCACAGTCTGGTTTTGTTTGTACTCATCCTTCTTGGGAAGGCTTTCCAGGTATTCGGAGGGACTTGGGTGTTGTGATCTAAGTTTTTGGTCATTGCAGCCATATCTGCATTAGGAGGCACCCCAAGCCCAATAGCACTATGTCTCTCGTAAACTAAGAGGTACTGCCTGGTCTTGGATAAGATTCAGAAGAATGCTGTGGATCACCAGGCAGAGACTCTTGATCTCTTTCCTCATTTTTTCCCAAACAAATAGAGTCTCTCTGTGCTGAGCTCTCTGGAGCTGGGTGAGAGGTGATGCCAGCACCTTTGTGGCTACCACCACTGGGACTGTACTGGGTTAGACCTGAAGCCAGCTCTGCACTGGGTCTCACCTAGGGCTCATGGTAACCACTGGCTGGCTACTGCTTGTGTTTGCTCAAGACCCTAGGGCTCTGCAATCAGCAGGTGGTGACCCCAGACAAGCTTATGTTCTTTCCTTCAGTGCACAGAGTCCACTCAGTTCCAGTTGGGTCCAGAAATGCTGTCTGAGAGCCAGGCCTTGAAGTCAGAAACCTTAGGAATCTACTTGGTGCTCTGTTCTACTGTGGCCTTGCTGGCACCGAAGCCACAAGGCAAAGTTGTTTCCACTCTACAGGCCCCATCCATAGAATAATTAGGTAGGGACCTTTCAAAGGAGAATCCTCAAATGTCAGCATATATTGTTTATTTTGTCCTTCGGGTTTTCAAGAAAGGTTGTAACCCTGGATGTCTGTGTTTTAGTAGTGGTTTGGACTGTGGAAAGGAAGCCAGGATTCTCCTTGTTCACTAACTATACAGACCTTCATTTGATCCTTTTGTTTTCAGCAAAGCACCCTGACTATCAGCTGCCTCAGATTCCAGAGCCTCTGGTTCAGGCTCGCCAAAAGAACCAAGTATCCTAGTTTCAACGCCACTCTAATACCTCCGCCTTTTAGAGTCTTTATGTTCACCATAGCTGAGCTAACTGGCTACCTCTGATGTTGCAGTTGCAGGCATTGGTACTTCAAATTCCTGAGCCTGTAACACATATTAGCTGTAAGTTACTATTTCAGTTTTTTCTACTTCACCAATTCAGTTACCAGCCATTTGTCCACTTTTCATATTTTGAAATGTTACTAACATCTCTTACTCTCTTTTTTTCCTGTGGACTTATACCATTTACACTATCTCCCAAAAGATAAGTGGACCAAGTACCTGAGGAGATATTTCATGAGCACCCACATATTTCTGCTTTTCAGTGTCACAAATAGAAATGTGTATTCAAGCAAGTTGTTATTTTAAACTCAAAAATGGGTTTGTGTATGTATAGAGTATATATACAGATGAAAACATGAAGAATGGGGCATTTTCCTGAACTGTAGCAGTTCAAACTGGAACAGGGGTAGAGGAAAACAGATTAGCAATGTGCTTGACTATCTTTTGACTTATGAATTCTTCCTTAGGAAGTAGAATTTCTCCTAAGGAAATATTTCAAACTATGGACCAAGATATGCAAAAAGTTGCCCATCTTATTTTTAATATTACTATCTAAGTAGAATAACTGACGCTTATTAAACTTTTCATGTGTGCTTCAAGAACTGTGCCAGAAGTGTTTAACCTATATTATCCCATGTAATCCTCACGACAATCATATGAGATAAATACTATATTTATCTTCTCTGAAAACACAGAGCTAGACTGCCAAACCAGGCTGAAGCCCAGGTCTAATTTATAACATTTATTCTTTAGCCATCATGCTCACAGTTCTCTGTAAATACATATTACTGTTATAAAGATGAAGGAAAGAGTAAACATTTTCAGTGTGTCAGTAGTGTAAGTATGTTTCAGTAATCTAAACATCCAACTAGAGTAAAACAGCTAAATTTAGCAATTCATTGTACTTTCATGATACGATATGCAGCCATTAAAAAGTCATATTTTGGGCGGACGCAGTGGCTCATGCCTGTAATCCCAGCACTCTGGGAGGTGGGATCACCTGAGGTCAGGAGTTGGAGATCAGCCTGACCAATATGGTGAAACCCCATCTCTACTAAAAATACAAAAATTACTCGGGCTGTGGTGGTGCACGCCTGTAATCTCACTTACTCAGGAGGCTGAGGAGGGAGAATCACTTGAACCCAGGAGGCATACACTGCAGTGAGTGGAGACCACACCACTGCACTCCAGCCTGAGCAACAGAGGGAGACCCTGTCTCAAAAAAACAAAAACAAACAAAAAAAGTCATGTTTTAGAAGAACATTTAATGACATAATACTCATATTATAATTAGAAAATGAGATAAAATCTTAAATACAGCGTATTACAATTATTTTTCTGAGCTTATTATAGGTAGAAATACACACAAAATTTTTTATCGTTATTCCTGAGTGATTGGTTTACAGGTTTTATCATTTTCTTTCTTATGTTTTTTCTGTTTTCCAAATTTCAAATGTGTATTTTTAAATCAGAAAAAAAGTTAGAGTATTTAGTTCACCTATTAACTTAATGTTGAGTGACATGAATATGCTTATGTGTCTGGGAAAAAACAGTTGTAAAGTCATATGTATAGTGTGATCTCAGCAAGATATTAATTAATTTATTATTTTTTTCTCTATCTTCAAAATTGTATACTATAAGCATATTTATGTAATCATAGAAAATTTAATATTTTAACTTGGAGGAAATGTCTGTACTTTTTCTTATATTTTTAGACATTTGAAGACAGTGATTTGTTCCATTTGATTGGTGTTATCTGTGGCTTAGCTATTTACAATTTTACTATTGTGGACCTCCATTTTCCTTTGGCTTTATATAAGAAACTACTGAAAAAGAAGCCATCCTTGGATGATTTAAAAGAACTAATGCCTGATGTTGGGAGGTTAGTTGTAAAAAAACAAAACAAAACAAAACAGTCAAAAGGTAGTAGGGTTTGGGAGATAAGAAGTGGGGAATGTACTGAAAACTTTCCTTCTGTGAATGAATATTTTTTTTTGTTGTTCTTAAATTTCTGAAATAAACTAAACAAATGCCCCTCTAATACAGGAAACTCCATTATGTTACTCAGATCAAAATTTTCTGTTGAAAGACTAAATTTGGCTGGTGCCTTGGCTCACACTTATAATCCTAGCGCTTTGGGAGGCAGATTGATCACCGGAGGTCAGGAGTCAATACCAGTGTGACCAACATGGCAAAACCCCATCTATACTAAAACTACAAAAAATTAGGCAGGCGTGGTGGCACACGCCTGTAGTCCCAGCTACTCGGGAGGCTGAAGCAAGAGAATCACTTGAACTCAGGAGGTGGAGGGTTCAATGAGCCAAGATTGCACTGTATTGCTTCAGCCTGGGTGACAGAGCAAGACTGTTTCAAAGAAAAATTTTTTTTTTAGTGATTTGATAATACCTTGCAAATAACAGACAATCACCTTAGGAAAGCAATTTTTTTCTGAGAGTGGTTAAATGATTTATTTGGACTTTTACTTCTGATAACCTTCATTCCTAGTTTGAATATGTGAAATATATTTTTATTTATTAAATAAAATGGATTAAAAATAAGGACAAATGGGCTAGGTATGGTGGCTCACGCCCATAATCCGAGCACCTTGGGAGGCCAAGGCAGGCGGATCATGAGGTCAGGAGTTTAAGATAAGCCTGGCCAACATGGTGAAACCCCATCTCTACTAAAAATACAAAAATTAACTGGGTGTGGTGTGACACACCTGTAATCCCAGCTGCTCTGGAGGCTGAGGCAGAAGAATTGCTTAAAAAGCCAGGGGGCAGAGGTTGCAGTGAGGCACTGCATTCTAGCTTGGGCAACAGAGCAAGACTCCATCTCAAGAAAATAAAATAAAATAAGGAAAAATGTTAAAATAAGTGGATACATGGCATTTTGTATTCAGAAAAGTGATAAGAACCTTTAATTTTTTTCCTTCAGCATCATTTATGTTTGCCATTGTTTATTCACTATTTTGAAAAAGATATAAAATTACAAATTGACAAAAAGGATTTTAAGTGAATGAGAAGTATATACATATTCATAAGTAAAATAGTCAAAATACCCAATAATGATTTTGTGCTAAGAAACAAATATATTATTTTGCAGAAGCATGCAACAATTACTGGATTATCCAGAAGATGACATAGAGGAAACATTTTGTCTTAATTTTACGGTAAGATGGAAAGACAAATTAGCCTGATTATTCATCATCCCTTTTATTTAAGAAACGTGTCTTACAGTTTTTCTTCATTTGATGGATGGAATTATTAAAGAACCCTTTAGCTAACATTTATTGAGCATTTACTATGTGCTAGCTAGTCATAGTACATGCATTTCATTTAATCCTCAACAATCCAATGAGGTTAGGATTATCCCTGTTTTACAGATGAAGAAAACTGAAAAAGATCGTTACTTTGGAAGTCAGTATACATACCAACCTCTGTTACTTAAACCTGTGTGCTTTATCATTATGCTAAAGATATTTACAAATACAAGACATCCTGTTTATCCTTGTGTTCATTTTTGAGTCTGGAGTTACAGAAATGCTTTAGAGAAGCAAAAGGTTATTATGAGAATATTACTACTAAACTTAAAAACATAAATTTCCACTGGTACATTCCATTGTATTTCACACTAACATTCATCCTTGCCCATCTTGCCTTACTCACTGTTGGATAACATAGATAAAACAAATGCGAATACATTGCAATATCATTTGGAAAATGAAATTGCAAATCTTGTAAAGATGCACAGTTTCATTAAGGCAACGAAAAGGATGTTAAATAACTGATCCAGTCACATGCAAAGCTATTAATAGATGAGGATATGCTAGGAGTAGACTAGTTGGCAATTAAATATGAGAAAATCCATAAAGGTTATATAAGGCCCTCCAGAAGGGAACAATTCGAATATTATAAATTAGACTCTGGGGAAATTGTAAAACCTTTGGTTGACGGAGTCTGGCTCTGTCACCAGGCTGGAGTGCAGTGGCGTGATCTCAGCTCACTGCAACCTCTGCCTCCCAGGTTCAAGTGATTTTCTTGCCTCAGCCCCCCCAAGTAGTTGGGATTGCAGGTGCATACCACCATGCCCAACTAAGTTTTGTATTTTTAGTAGAGACAGTGTTTCACCATGTTGGCCTGTATGATCTCAATCTTTTGACCTGGAGATCTGCCTGCCTCAGCCTTCCAAAGTGCTGCTATTACAGGTGTGAGCCATTGTGCTCAGCCTGTTTTTCTTTTTAAAATTTTTTTATTTGTATATTTGTTTGCCACTCGCCACACATAACAGTTTTCTTTATGGTTTTGTTGTCAAAGCTGTCAAAAGATACCATATTTTGCTGTCATAAGATTTGCCAAAAAGAAAAAAATTGCATGTTCATAGTTTTTTCAAGAAAAGTGAATTTTTAAAACCATTTTCTGTCCAGGCGCAGTGACTCATGCCTGTAATCCTAGCACTTTGGGAGGCCAAGGTAGGCAGATCATTTGAGGTCAGGAGTTCCAAGACCAGCCTGGCCAACAATGGTGAAACCCCATCTCTACTAAAAATATAAAAAGTAGGCAGGCGTAGTGGTGCTGCATGTCTGTAATCCCAGCTACTCGGAAGGCTGAGGCAGGAGAGATTTAAGGCCTCCTGCTTAAACCCAGGAGGCAGAGGTTACAGTGAGCCGAGATCACACCACTGCACTGCAGCCTGGGTGACAGAGTGAGACTCCGTCTCAAAAAAAAAAAAAAAAAGTTACTCTTCACGAATCCAGATAACAGAAAAGCATTTTCCGAAATATGTTCCTGTTAGAATAAGGGGACCATAAAATTTTTAAAAAACAAAACTATTTTATATGAAATTTGGGTTCTCTTTTTCATTTGATTCACTTATACCCATGTTAGGTTTTTATTTTATTATTATTATTTTTGAGACAGAGTTTTGCTCTTATGCCCAGGCTGGAGTGTAGTGGCACAATCTTGGCTCAAGGCAACCTCTGCCTCCTGGATTCAAGTGATTCTCCTGCCTCAGCCTCCCAAGTACCTGGGATTACAGGCATGCGCTACCACGCCTGGCTAATTTTTGTATTTTTAGTAGAGACAGCGTTTCACCATGTTGGTCAGGCTGGTCTCAAACTCCTGACCTCGTGGTCCACCCGCCTCAGCCTCCCAAATTGCTGGGATTTCAGGCATAAGCCACTGTGCGTGGGCCACACAGTGTTTTGTTTTTTGTTTGTTTGTTTGAATCTACCTTACCTTCCTTTTTTGCAGAGCCACTTGCCATACATTTTCAGAAACTTGGTACATACTGTAATATCTAATCTTTTGTTCAATCGATATTCTGTATCTGAAATCTCACTGTCTTCTTAATCTTTCAAAATACTGCCTGTACTTGTAGGTGCTTTTCAAATGGCATTTCTTCCTCAAGATCTTTCATACTTCCTCTAGTTAGAATTCCATTTTCATTCCTCTATGATCTGGTAACATTTCATTCATATCTCTCTTATAAATGGATTATTTTATTATAATTTGTTCTTTATATATTACATTTCTCTTTTTTTACTAGATAGTAAATTTCAGAGCAGAAATATTCATCTAACATCCCACTCCCATCATAGTATTTTATAAATAGCAGAAGAAAAGATGCAAAAGTGGGAGTGGTAATATTTGTAGAAAAATTCCAGAGGTAAAAGAAATACCTAATTTCAAAATACCTGACTATCTTTATAAATCAAATTAGTACATAACTGTAAACCTGTCTGTGATTACATTTACAAGGCTGTTAGAGGAACCTTGGAGTAGCAGTTGTCATGCGGGAAGAATGCATGGTTTTCTAAGCTGAATGCATTCTGATGCTTGGATTTTATCACTTATCTAAGGAAAACATCCTTTCTAATATTTTATTCTTACAGTAACCATTATAAAGTTTTATGCATAAGAAATGCTTAGTTTCCTTAGTAACTTACCAAACACTTGGTAATTTGTAGTTAATCATGGTAGGATTTCAAACTAGAGAGGATCAGAATTTCTAGTTATGGCTTTAAGCAGAATTCTCAAATAAGCTATCGTAGCAGAATTTTATCTCAAATTTATTAGTCTTTGTATTAAATGAGAGAAAGGTAGACTATAATAATAGATTATTAAAATACTCTAAGTTTTGAGTCTGACATTGACTTTTTTTAAAAATTTAAATTAATAGATCACAGTTGAAAACTTTGGTGCAACAGAAGTGAAAGAGCTGGTTGTAAATGGTGCAGACACAGCTGTTAACAAACAAAATCGGTAAGTGAATTATAGCAGCAACAGTGGGAATAATAAGATTCAGTAGACATTTTCTTCTGTATGTAGAAAACGTGTCACAACCCTAAGTTTTTACTTCAGTAAAACTTTAATTTTGAGTGGTTAATGAGGAAGTAATCTGCCTTTTCTTTCTGAAATCCCTTGAAGACATTAAAGCAAAGATAAGGGAGAAGTGACAGCAGCAAACATTTTTGGAAGCCTGAAAACAGTCATAATTAACTTTAGCAAACCAGAGAAAGCTGCAACATGAGATGGAAAAGAGGAGCCAAGAAGCCAGCTGGATCACTTCGCAGAACAAAAGTTTAGGTGCTGAGAATAAAACACACCTTTAGAAAGTGCATGGTAGTTGGGGAAATGCTAGAAACAAAGGTTGACTCTTACAAGAAGCAGTTAGAAACAGTTTCCCATGCTAACATTGGATTTAAAACAACAACGAAAGTGCTAGTTTCCCTTAGCACGCCAGGAACCTGGCAACTACCTCTCTCCCGATTGGGCTGGAGATTGGAAATTTACCTTCTGGAGAAATTGAACTAAAGGCACTGTGGATTTGAGGACACCTACACACTGCCACAGGCAAGGAGCTAAACTGAAAACAGGGAGATTAGGTGCTGAAAATCTGACTCCCTCCTCCTTGGCACTGTATAGTGGAAGATCCATTTTTGGGGAAACTGCCTAACATTTAAAACGTAACTCAATAGTCAAAGATCAATAGACATTAAGGAAAAGACCAAAACAGTGAAAAAGAATGGCAAGAAGCCAAGAACCATGCAGGTTGAAGGACAAAATGTCGGAGGAGACTAAAATCAGTATCCTCAGAATGAGGCATGAGATACAATTAAAAATAGGAAAATAATTTCATTAGAAAGAAATGGAATGAATGAAATTTGTTAATAAAATATTTTTTTAAAAAACAACTTTCCAGAAACGAATGACATGCTTTCAAGATTGAAAGTATGAGAAGTGGAAAAAAGATCAATACCAAGACAAGATACATGAAATTTTCAAAATTTTCAAAGACAAAAGAACCCTAAAACGGTCCAAAAAACCCACAGACCTAAGAATCAATAACATCAGACTTGTAAAGAACACTGGAAGCTAGCAGAACAAAATTCTGGATGAAAGTTACTTTTAACTTAAAATTCTGTATCCAAATGATCAAGTGTGTGAGTGTTTAAAAACATTTTCATACATGCACAGTCTCAGAGAATTTACTTCTGATGTCTTTTTCTCAGGAAGTTACTGGAGGATGTGTTCTATCTACTAAAACTAGGAATTAAACCAAGAAAGAGGAAGACAGGATTATAAAAGCAACAAAAAACCACCATGATTCAAACAAGCAAAGATTCTTTCTGAAGGATCAGTAGCCGTGTAGATTTAGAGAGCTAACTATCTGGATTACACCAAGAGTATGGAGGGCTCGAGGAGAGAAATGCAACTGATAGCACCTATATTTTGAATGAATCTAGAGGAAATGGATATTTCTTTGGAGAAGTTGGGGATGAAGTAACAAACTAAGGAAAATAGAAGTTTTTGTTGTTGTTCTGAGGCAGATTCTCCCTCTGTCACCCAGGCTGGAGTACAGTGGCATGATCTCTGCTCACTACAACCTCCATCTCCTGGGTTCAAGGGATTCTCCTGGGTTCAAGGGATTCTGCTGCCTCAGCTTCCTGAGTAGCTGGGACTATAGGTGCCCACTACCACACTCAGCTAATTTTTGTATATTTAGTAGAGACGGGGTTTCACTATGTTGGCCAGGCTGGTGTCGAGCTCCTTACCTTGTGATCCACCCACCTCGGTCTCCCAAAATGCTGGGATTACAGGCGTGAGCCACAGGGCCCGACCAGAAGTTCTTTTTAAGAGAAAAGTAATCATAGAATACAGCTTAACTGGGAATAATATAGTAATGTTAACAAATAGTGAACCAAAAATTATTATATAAATGTAATAGATGTGCAGGGGAGTGGAAAGTGAATGGGATAATTACATTAAAGGTAAATCCGGCCTGGTGAGGTAGATCAACTGTGGCCAGGAGTTTGAGACCAGCCTGACCAACATGGAGAAACCACGTCTCTATTAAAAATACAGAATTAGCGGGGTGCATGCCTATAATCCCAGCTACTCAGAAGGCTGAGGCAGAAGAATCGCTTGAATCCAGGAGGGGAGGCTGAGATTGCAGTGAGCCAAAATCACACCATTACACTCCAGCGTGAGCAACAAGAGCGAGACTCCATTAAAAGATAAATCCAAACCAAATTGAAAGTTAAGGAGTAACTATAGAACTGTGTTGTTAAAAGCTTGAATATAAATATCAATTGGAATAGCAAAAAGAGTTAACAGAGAGTTGCCTTTGAATAGCAGGAATTTCTGGTGGAGAAGTGCAGGACAGATTTTGTTCCCTTCTATTTTGTTACAATTCTTTAGTGTGCCTGTTGCCAGGGTCTTGGTCCAAAGGATTGAATCCGGTTCCGCTACTTAGAAGCTTTATAACGTTAAATAAATTAGTTGATGTCTCAGTGCCTCAGTGTCCTGGTCTGTTAAATGGAATGACTAATTGTACTTTAATGGCGTTATTTTGAGGATTAGATGAGATTTTAAGATACTTAGAATAGAACCTAGCACATGCAGTGCTCAGTAAATGTTGGCTATTATGATTATTATTATTTGGTATTTTAAACTATTGATATTTCTTACTTTGATAAAAATAAAGCTGTTTTTATAATGTGAAAAAATTTGAGAACCTTCTAAATATTCTTTTGTAAAAAAACTTTGGTTTTTACAGGCAATTTACCATTATTCCTATTGCAAATCATCCTTTATTACTTGGAGAACAAAGATATGAAATAGTAAAGTCTTCTAGTACCTGTTTTCATTATGTTTGACCAGACATAATGCTAGCAAAACAAAACAAATCGAATAAAACTGTGGTTCAAATTCAGGGGTTAAAGTGGCTTCCTTTTTTTCTTTAGAGTTTCCTTTCATAGCTTAAGATAAGAAAATCAGAAGTGATTATGTGTGTGAGTCAACACATACATTTGAAAAGAAACTACACTTGTACTCTTTAATGATTATCCTAAAAGAATGCTTAGTACCCATTCTTAGGTATTTATTAAAATAAAAGTTGTTCAGATTCCTTGGAACTGAAGGAAAAGAAGGCAATAATTTGTAAAATGGTCTGAATCCCAAAATTATTTTGATAGCCATTTGCATCATTGTCCCCATTAGGAAATGACATTTTTTTTCGTTAAGAATAGCCTAAGGCTGGACACGGTGCTAACACCTGTAATCCCAGAACTTTGGGAGGCTGAAGTGGGTGGATCATGAGGTCAGGAGTTGAAGACCAGCCTGACCAATATGTTGAAACCCCGTCTCTACTAAAAATACAAAAATTAGCTGTGCATGGTGGCAGGCACCTGTAATCTCAGCTACTCAGGAGGCTAAGGCAAGGGGGTAGAGGTTGCAGTAAGCTGAGATCATGCCACTGCACTCCAGCCTGAGTAACAGAGTGAGACTCCGTCTAAAAAAAAAAAAAAGGGAATATCCTAAGAATAACTGGACGCCTCATGGATGGATATAGCTGATTTTCATATAGAAAGAATAACAGCTTTTTCCATAATGACTTTAATTTTATCCTGTTTGAACCCAACTCATACATTCTCAGTTTTGTAGATATGTAGCAGAAATTGCAAGCGCACATGAAGTTGTTTTTTTTTTTTGGTTTTTTTTTTTTTTTTTTTGAGTTGGAGTTTCACTCTTGTTACCCAGGCTGGAGTACAATGGCGCGATCTCGGCTCACCACAACCTCCGCCTCCTGGGTTCAGGCAATTCTCCTGCCTCAGCCTCCTGGGCACGCGCGACCATGCCCAGCTAATTGTTTTGTATTTTTTTTTTTAGTAGAGACGGGGTTTCACCATGTTGACCAGGATGGTCTCGATCTCTTGACCTCGTGATCCACCCGCCTTAGCCTCCCAAAGTGCTGGGATTATAGGCGTGAGCCACCATGCCCGGCCTGATGTTTTAATAAGACTACATTATGTATTCTTCATAAACGATTTTTATAATCTGTACATGTGTGCTTTTTCATTCCCAGGCAAGAGTTTGTTGATGCTTATGTGGATTACATATTCAATAAATCAGTGGCTTCCTTATTTGATGCTTTTCATGCGGGCTTTCACAAGGTCTGTGGAGGAAAAGTTCTACTGCTCTTTCAGCCTAATGAACTACAAGCAATGGTCATTGGAAATACAAACTATGATTGGAAGGAATTAGAAAAGGTAGGGGAAAACTAATCTCTGATATTGCTTAAATGGAAAGGCAAAAGAAGAATGTCACTTATATGTGGAAATCTTGCCTTTTATGTATTATTTTTTATTTTATACACTTTATTACACTCATTTTACAGGGAAGCACTCTACCCTTCTTACCCCACAATGAGTAGATTTGAACTGTGTATGAATTAGACACTATTGTAGTTGGTGGTATTGATACAGAAAACTCATCTGGCCAGGCACAATGGCTCCTGCCTGTAATTCCAGCACTTTGGGATGCTTAGGCAAGAGGATCACTTGAGGGCAGGATTTCAACAGCAGCCTGGGCAACATAGCGAGACCTTATCTCTAAAAATAATTTAGGCCAGGCACAGTGCCTCATGCCTGTAATCCCAGCACTTTGGGAGGCCAAGGTTGGTGGATCACCTGAGATCAGGAGTTCAAGACCAGCCTGGCCAACTTGGTAAAACCCTGTCTCTACTAAAAATACAAGAATTAGCTGAGCATGGTAACATGTGCCTATAATCCCAGCTACTCAGGAGGCTGAGGCAGGAGAATTGCTTGAATCTGTGAAGCAGAGGTTGGCGTGAGCTGAGATTGATTGCGCCACTGCACTCTAGCCTGGGCGACAGAGCAAGACTCTGTCTCAAAAAAATAAATAAATAAAAGTAATTTTAAAAATTGGCCAGATGTGGTGGCAAACACCTATGCTCCTAGCTACTCTACTCTTGGAAGGCAGGGATGGGAGCATCACTTGAGTCCAGGTGATTGAGGCTGCAGTGAGCCATCATTATACCACCGCACTCCACCATGGCAGAGCAGGACCCTGTCTCAAAAGAAAAATGTCATCTGTGACACACGTGGATAGAAGCCCTAACCAAAATTGAATGGGTTTTCATTCTGCCTCAGTCCTAGGAAAACCATTATGAAAAGCAGTTGTGATGTTTTAAAAATCTTTGTTTCCTTTTTTTCTGTTTAGTCTCAGTGTCACATTTTTTAGCAGAGTAATTATCAAATATTTCTTCCAATAAACATTTAATAGAAAGTGTTAGGTTAAGCCAGGCATGGTGGATCACTTGAGTCCAGGAATTCGAGACCAGCCTGTCCAACGTGGTGAGACCCCGACTCTACTGAAAATACAAAAATTAGCCAGGTGTGGTGGTGCACACCTGTAATCCCAGTAACTTGGGAGGATGAGGCATGAGAATCACTTGAACCCGGGAGGCAGTTTGCAGTTAGCTGAGATTATTTATGCCACTGCACTCCAGCCTGGGTGACAGAAAGTGCAAGGTTAGATCAGCTTTGAAGATACATGCAGAGTCGACCTGTTGATTTTTCATCTTTTTAATATAGCATCCTGTAATTTGTGCATTTATAATTAGATGCTGTGCACCTATTAAGATGACGAACATAAAAAAAAAAACAGAGCTAGCATTTAACACTCTTATTTTTTATGTTAATCATCTTCATAGGTGCAAAGTGTCAGGAACATTTATATGTTGCTGGTGGGGACAAAAATGGGATAATCACTTTGGAAACAGTAGCGGTTTCTTATGAAGTTAAACATACATTTATTATATGACCTAGCAGTCCTACTCCCAGGTATTAAATTATATTCACACAAAAGTCTATAAACAAAGGGAACAGAGTTTCAGTTTTATAAGATGGAAAGAATTCTGGAGATGGATGGTGTACAAGGATGTGAATGTAATTAATGCTACTGAAGTGTATACTTAAAATGATTAAGAAGTAAACTGTATGGTATGTGTGTTTTACCTTAATTTTTAAATACTTTTTAAAATTTGCAAATGAGTAAAAAACTGGAAACAACCTAGATATCCTTCTGTGGGTGAATGGGTAAACCAACTACAGTATACCTACTCAGCAGAATAACTACTAAGTGTTAAAAAGAAATGCACAATACCTGTAATCCTGGCACTTTGGGAGACTGAAGTTGGCAAATCACTTGAGCCCAGGAGTTCAAGACCAGTATGGGCAACATGATGAAACCCCCTATCTACAAAAAACACAAAAATTAGCTGGTCATGGTGGTGTGCACCCCTAGTCACAGCTACTCAAGAGGCTGAGGTTGGGAGGATCCCTTGAGCCCAGGAGGTGGAGGCTGCAGTGGGCCACGAGCGCACTCTGATGTAGGCAACAAAGCAAGACCCTATCTCAAAAAAGAAAAATAAGGCACTATTGATACATGCAACAACTGGGTGACTCTGAGGCTTTATGCTGAGTAAAGAAAGCCAGTTTCAAATTATTGTATACTGTATGGTTCCATTTATGTGACATTCTTAAAAAGACAAACAATTATAGTGAATAGGAGCTAGGGGTTGAGCGGGACGGTGTGACTTCAGAGGAGGTAGCACAAGAGACATCTCAGAGCATCACAGTGATGGGTCTGTTCAGTACCCTAATTGTGGCAGTGATTACACAGATCTGCACATCATCTTAGAACTTAACAGAACTATATGCATACCAGAAAATGGCCAGTTTTACTGTTTAGTAATTTAAGGAATAAGATTTTAATAATAATTAGGATTTCTAAATTAAACATTATGGAATAAACATAGCTGCTCCCTCGCAAAATCTCACTAGAATGACAGTAATGGAATAAAAATAGGAACACACACACACTGAAAAATGAAAATTTAATGAAAAAGAGAAGAAATAGTTTTGGAAGACAGAAAATAAGGAGATAAATTGATGAGTGGCTTAGAGCAGAGAATAATTGAATTCTAAGCCTCCAGAGGGACAGGATTGTCAGGAGGCAACTCATTTTATACCCTAGAATCTGAAAGACTCAAGAATTGGTATACCATGTTACCGTTAATGGCAGGGATGAGGGTTAGACTAAGGACAATAGAATTACTTTACAGCAATTGTAAAGAATAATTGGACCATTCACATCTCCTCTCCTACCCAGCAAAAGACAGCTTGGGCGGAAGACTTTACAATTTGGGAAACTAGTTAAAACAGGATGCCACACAGCTGGTAGCCAGGTGTAAATCCTTCAGGAAGGAGATTGAAGGGTCCTGTGTAGGGGTAAATTGATGTGCTCAAGAGAAGAAGCCTGTAGATACTAACTATAAGTGGAAATGGATTCCACCGCTAATCACTTTAAAATGATACATCGGCTTCTCATCACTCTTTAGATTCTACACAATTTGTCCTTCCTTGCCTCATCTTCTGTCATTGTTCCTCTCACTCTGCCTGAGCCTTATTAACCTCTTTGCTGAGCCTAGGTCACCCCAGGCACACTCCAGTCTTAGGGCAGTTCTGTTTCCTTTTCCATGTGCCTGGAATTCTCTTCCCCTGATAAGCTCAAAAGATTCTTGCCCTTCCTTTATGTGTTTATACCTTCTCAGAGACTTGCACTGGATAACTGATATAAAATTGCAGTCCTCTCTCCTGCATACATATCCTGTCTCCCCTCACTGTTTTATTTTGCTTCTTTGGATTTGACATAATTTTACTTATTTGTCTTTACGGTTGCTCCTTCCCTCCAACTACAATGTAAGCACCCTGAGGGGAGAATTTTTGCCTTTGTTCACTGCCGTATTCCTAGCACCTAGAAGAGTGCTCCGTAAGTACTTGAAACCTTGCCTGAAGTGACAATTGATGGAAGTGTTCATTCAGTTAAGACAGGACATCTTAGGTCGGGCACAGTGGGTCATGCCTATAATCCCAGCACTTTGGGAGGCCGAGGTGGGTGGATCACCTGAGGTCAGGAGTTCTGAGACCAGCCTGGTCAACATGGAGAAACTTCATCTCTTTAAAAAAAAAAAAGACACCTTAAAAAGTATATTTTAGTGTATTTATACTTAATACTTTGATTTCTTCTATTATATATCCGATTCATTACAATTTTAGTGATTATGATTTGGAGCTGTAAATGTTCTTTCTTAATCAGGACACGTGTGCACATTTCTACCAAACCATTTAGAGATTTAAAAGAAAGAAAAACTTTAGCCATCCTCTTTTCATTCTCCACTAACATGTTCACAGACTTTAATTCAAACAGTTTAATAAATTGAGTGCTAGAATTCAAACCATTTTCTTCAGACTTGTTTGCACCTAACAGCAAATACTTTACAGACTTGAATTATTGAGAGTTCAGTGATTGAGATAAATCATTGCTACAACTAAGGAGAGTCCAAAATTCAAGAGCAAGTATTTATTGAGCCTCTACTGTGTGCCTGAAATATGCAGCTGAAGTTATGGAAGAGATTAAGGAGAGGGCAGGAAATAAGATTGAGACATGGTCTTTGCCCTATTAAGGGATCTAGAAATTAAATGCTTAATAGTTTTGATGATTACAAAGAAAAAGAGTTTAGTGAATGGTACATAAGGAGGAACTTAATCTAGGATAAATGAATCTAGGAAAGCCTCTCACTCGATGGTAAGCTCCACAAGGTAAGTGAGGATTATGTTCACTGAAGTTTTCCCAGGGCCCAAAACATTGACTAAAACTCATTACATATTTGTTGGATGAATCAATTTATTAGATGACATTTAATCTGAGCCCTAAAAAGGTAAGTAAAAATTAGCCTGATTACCAAAGAAGAAAGGATGTGTCTAAGTGGTATAGGCTGAGGGAACGGTATAATCAGAGGGCCTGACGCATCTTAAGAACTGAAAGTTAAGGCCAACTGTGGCTGGATAAGAACACTTGACAATATAAACTATTTCCTTTTTGCTTCCTATCCCCTTCTCTCCTAGTACTAATTTTTTTTTTTTTTTTTTTTTTGAGACAGCAGAGTTTCACTCTTATTGACCAGGCTGGAGTGCAATGAGACAGGCTTGGTTCACTGCAACCTCCACCTCTCAGGTTCAGCTGGTTCTCCTGCTTCAGCCTCCTAAGTAGCTGGGACAACAGGCACCTGCCACCATGCCTGGCTAATTTTTGTATTTTTAGTAGAAACGGGGTTTCCCTGTGTTGGCCAGGCTGGTCTCGAATTCCTGACCTCAAGTGATACACTCACCTCAGCCTCCCAAAGTGATGGGATTACAGGCGTGAGCCACTGTCCCCAGCCAGTACTAATATTTTTGAAAGAGGAGATATAATAGTCCTATTGCTGCAAATTTCCCCAAAACTTACTGGCTTCAAAATAACAAAACTTTGCTTTCTCATAGTTTCTGTAGGTCAGGAATTCAGGAGTGGCTTAGCTGAGTAGTTTGGGCTCAGGGTTCTCTCATGAAGTTGCAGTCAGAATACTGGCTGGCGCTATAGTCATCTAAACATGCCTAGTTAAGGATAAAGATTCACTTCCAAGGTGGCTTCGTCACAAAACTGTTGGCAGGAGGCCGTAATGTAGGACCATGAGTACTTCTCTCCATATAGGGACGTTTGAATATCCTCATGAAATGACAACTGGTTCTCCCCAGAGTGAGTGATCCAGAAGAAGGGCTGAAGCCATAGATTTTTTTTTTTTTTCTTATGATTTAGTCTCAGAAATCATACATTCCGTATATTCACAATATCCTTATTACACACGGGCATGAATACCAGGAGGCAGGTGGCAAACTAGCTCAGAAAATTTTTAGCGTTGCTTAGTACTGTATTTTTAAAAGGAGGGATAGAATGTAATATTTTACTTCTGTTCATGAATACAGGAAGTGAAAATTTTCTAATTATCACAGATAATTCCATATCAAACTTTTAATAGTCCCTTAGTGTTATTTTAGTAATCTAGTTTAAATATTTACTTTTGAAGATGATAGTATGATCCTGTCTTGTTCTTTGAAGTGCTGGGAGAGATTTCTGGTGATTGTTACATGTTTCTTCTTTTTCTCCTGGAACTAATAGCTTCAAATTGTAAATGTCCAGGAAGTAGTGAGGAGTCCATTGAATTGCATGAGTTTCAAACTCCTGGACCATGTTAGCTTTATGTGTTAATACATTAGCCAGTTTGCCAGATTCAAAACAAAACTAATATCCCTTAATACTAATAAAAGATTATGTTGTTTTTAGAATACAGAATACAAAGGGGAATACTGGGCAGAACATCCTACAATAAAAATGTTTTGGGAAGTATTTCACGAATTACCACTGGAAAAGAAGAAACAGTTTCTGTGTAAGTATTTCTAACTGGTTGTCTATTTTATGAGACTGGAATCTAATTACAGTATTATTCCAAAGTCCTGTTTTTAATCTTCAATAATTTTTTTGATAAAAGAACTGATGTGCACTCTTCAGTACCTTTATTTTCTTATTTCAAAGGCTAAATTCAGTTTGCCTCCAAAATGGCATCGATTCTATGAAGTAAAACGGAAGCTAACTTGGAAATGAAAGCAAACTATAGCTATGTTATAATAAACTGTGGTTACAAGCAACTAGGATTGTAGAATTCTTTTAGATTTCTAAAAAGATCTCTGGAGGTGTCATCCCTCAGCATACATAGGGGGTTGGTTCCAAGACCTCACCGCCAAGGATACCCAAATCCAATAGATTCTTAGGTTTCTTACATAAATTGGCAGAGTATTTGCATATAACCTACACACATCCTTATACTTTAAATCATCTCTAGATTACAGTCATGTGCCACATAATGACTTTTCAGTGAATGAGAGACCACATATACGATAGTGGTCCCATAAAATTATAATACCTTAATTTTACTGTACGTTTTCTGTGTTTAGATACACAAATACTTATTGTTGTATTACAGTTACAGACAGGATTCAGCACAGGTTTTGTAAATATATGTTTAGACAACAAAATCGCCTAATGCTGCATTTCTCAGAACATATCGTTAATGACACATGAATGTACTTGTATTAATAATACCTCATACAATGTAAATGCTATGTAAATAGTTGTTATACTGTATTGTTGGGAACTAATGTCAAGAAAAAAAGTCATTTCAATAGTCACAAACATCCATTTTTTGAGAGTATTTTCAATTTGCAGTTTGTTGAATCCATGGATACAGAACCCACAGATATGGAGGGCAAACTGTATACATGCCCTTTTCTCTGTTTGGTCTTCATTTTCTTTTACTTTTGATTCAAGACTAAACCTTTGGGAATCTCCATATAAAATGAAACATTTTTGGGCCTTAGTTCCCTCATTATAACTGATGCCTGTGTATCCTCCTGTTAAAGTCCATATTCTAATTGAAATTTGACTTATTTTTAAAGTTGTCAGAATTTGTGTCTAAATCAGCAACATTTTCTTTGAAATTTCTGCTATTGACAAAAATATTTTGGCAATCTCTTTAAGAATCTTGGTCAAGTTTTTTTGTATGTCTTAAGGATGAGAAATCATTACTCTTTAAGAGTGACTTGAGCCTGGGCAACATGGCAAAACCACATTTCTACAAAAATTAGCCCTGGGCTTGGTAACACGTGCCTGTGCGCCCAGCTACTCCAGTAGCTGAGGTAAGAGGATTGCTTGAGCCCAGGAGGTCAAGGCTGCTATGAGCCATGATTGTGCCACAGCACTCCAGCCTGGGCAACAGAGCAAGACTAATCTCAAAAAAAAAAAAAAAAGTGATTTGAATTTTGGCTGCCCATTATAAATTTCTGATAAAAAATAACAGAAATGGCTGGGCACAGTGGTGTATGCCTGTAATCCCAGCACTTTGGGAGGCCAAGGCAGGTGGATCACAAGGTAAGGAGTTTGAGACCAGCCTAGCCAATATGGTAAAACCCCCATCTCTACTAAAAAATACAAAAATTAGCCAGGTACCAGCTACTCAGGAGGCTGAGGCAGGAGAATCACTGGAATCCAGGACGTGGAGGTTGCAGTGAGCCAAGATCACACCACTGCACTCCAGCCTGGGCAACTGAGCGAGACTCCATCTCAAAAAATAAATAGCAGAAACAAAGCAAATAGATAAATCATAATCAAAACTGCATTTTGTATTTGGTTTGTCAACTAGTTCCTAAATGAGTTCTCAAAAAAAGGGGGGGTCTCAAAATGTTTTAGGAATAGCAAGTTATTCACTTACCAAACATTTATTAAGCACTTCCTTTGCGCCAGTATTAAGATTATACTTTGAAAGAAAAAATACTGTGTGGATGAGCAATTAGTATGTGTCTCAAAAAACTTGTCTTCCACAAATTCAGGAAGTAACTTAATACCTTACAGCAAATGTTAATATGAAGCTCTGCTATAGTGACTGTACGAAATTTTAGTTGCTACTTTTTGTTTTGGTTTTGAAGTGGTTGACTGATTTTTTTTCTTGGCAGTATTTTTGACAGGTAGTGATCGCATTCCTATTCTTGGTATGAAGAGTCTGAAACTAGTCATCCAGCCAACAGGAGGTGGTGAGGAATATCTCCCAGTTTCCCATACTTGTTTTAATCTTCTGGATCTTCCAAAATATAAAGAAAAAGAAACTCTACGCTCTAAACTGATCCAAGCTATTGATCACAATGAAGGCTTCAGTTTAATATAACTTTGGAGTTATAACTATTCAGTTTAGTGCAAAAGCATTAAACTATTTGTGTTTTTCTTGTGGTGATGAATTCAGCAAGGTGACAGAGGTACTATTAAAATTTTTACTGCAAAATGTTCAATCTGCGAGTGTTCATGGAAGCCAAAAAAATTAAAGGAAAATGAACAAACTGTTAATATTATTGTACAGAACCATGTCTTTTTTTGACTATCTTCCAATAAACATACAGGTATTGTGAATACATTACAAAGTTTTACTAACATGAATTTCAGGAGTTTGCATATTTCAGAAATGATCTGGTGTGAATGCATGGAAATACTGCTTAATTTTTCTTCAATCATTGAGTGAAAAACCTTTAACTTTGGCCTGCGATAGTAATTTGATTATTTTTTCATTTTGTAAATAATATTGTTTTGTAATAAAATAGTTATGTTCTGATACCAGTACAGTTTCTATGGTTGTAATTGAACCTGAGCAGACTTTTAAAGGTTAAAAATTATGATTTCAATCTTCCTCTGAGACTCTATGAAAAAAAAGGTAGCATGGTGGAAACAGTCTTTTCTTTTTTGCTAGAGTAAGTGTCTTTGTGCAAACCTAAATCACAAATAGGGAATATACTACATAACCTGCAGTTCTTTTCTCTTTTGTGAATCCTGACATGCTGAGAGATGGAGGATTGTTGAAACTATTTAGTACTGGAAGAACTCTGTCTCTACATTTGCCAGTAATAAAAAGAAACTGGCTACCATGAGCACCAATCTCTGGGTTATAGCTTTCAAAATTATTGATGCTGCAGTGCTTTAGAGCTATTTCCTTGAATTTATTAAACAAATTAACAGTTTTATGGTGCTGATGCTTAGTTATCTCATGCCATTAAATTGTAAAAGTGAGTTGATGCAATACATGTGACTTTCTGCTATAATGCAAATATTTATTTTTAAAATTTATTTAAAAATGCCGTGAAAACTGTTTAATAAAGATTTATTGTTTTAATATTTAAACTTTCAGTGGTTCTCATGTAAGAGTCAACATTTTTCAGAAAGAGGGATGGCTCAGGGAGGGTCTCTTAAATTTCGGATTGCTGTTTCCATGCCCATATGAATTTATAGAGGGCCACAGTCTCTTACCTGCAATTCTAAAATTTAAAAAAACTGAAAAGAATATTTTCATCTCTCACTATGCAGGAAAAACCTGATCTGAATTGTTGAAGCTATTAATGGTATACAGTAAATGAGACTATAACCCCTATTGGGTGCTTTAAAAAAAAATCTTTAAAATGCATAATTCCAAAATGCAAATTAAGCCCCAGGGTTGGATAAGGGATTGTGGACTTGTACTTTTCAGTAGTCTAACTTAAAAAACTATTGGCAAGCCATAGAACTTTTCTATAGATAGAAGCACTAAAACAGTATTTTCACCTAAGGTACTTCTCAGAGTAGCAGCATTCTCCTTGAGGTAGTAATGATTCAAATCAAACACGTCAGATGCTCTTTTTCAATAGTAACCTTTGTATACTATGAAGCTGGTCTGTGAAATAGCAGGCACTTTGGATTAATAGTGCCATGAACAAGTATTTTAACGAGAGCATAGCATCTCATCTGGGAGCACACTGTACAGAGCTTAATTTGGGAACTTTCTTCCATTACTATAGACTGATACAGTGCATTAACAGCAAGGAGATTCATGGTAGACAGTTAAAATACCATTGAACATTTCTGAAATTGCCATTTGCTTTAAAAAAAAAAAAAGTCTCGAGCTTTGTAGATCAGAGCAGCAAGGCTGCGTGCAGATAGTTTGCTAAATTGTAGGACCGTGATGATTGAGTTAGCTAAATACTGAAGCATTTGGCCTCCACACATCTGTTTCTAAGAGATAATAGATACATAGTGTGTTTGTAGCTCTCCTGTCTTTAGCTAGTAGCCATTGTTCAGGATTATTAAGGCAGCAGAACCAAGATACTCCTTTCAATTAAAAGGAAATGACACCAGAATGCTGGCTCGGCGTGGTGGTTCACGCCTGTAATCCTAGCACTGTGGAAGTCTGAGGTGGGCAGATGGTTTGAGTCTAGGGGTTCGAGACCAACCTGGCCAAAATGGTAAAACCCCCATCACTACTAAAAATACAAAAAATTAGCCAGATGTGGTGGCAGATGCCTGTAATCCCAGCTACTCTGGAGAATCACTTGAACTTGGGAGGTGGAGGCTGCAGTGAGCTGAGGTGCTGCTGCACTTAAGCCTGGGCTACAGAGCAAGACTGTCTCAAAAAATTAAAAAAAAAAAAACGAAAACAGAATGCAGTTGTAAAAACTTAGAGACCTAATTAGAGTCCCAAGGTTAGCCTTCTTAAAGGATCTATTCCTAAGGACCATTCATTGGGGTCAGCTTTTACTAGCAGGTTGTTCCTCCTTACAGCTTTTTACTTCATTTAGTAAAGTTGTGAATCAAAGCGTAATATGGCATAGAGCAGTATTCCCCTGAAGCATGTATGGTAAGCTTGCTAAAAAACAAGAGCAAAATAATTCCTGTCATCAGTCTCCCTCCACTTGCCAACCTCTTTTGCACTTTGACCATCCAAAATGCCTTACAGTAGTTTTGTCCTCCTTTGCTGAAGACTTCACTCTATTTTGATAGCTCCCTACTCTTCCGTGTTGGCTATGAACCCCAAATTAACTGATGAAGTATTTGTGGGGAAAACTTAGAGGGTGCTAATTTAAGTTAATCTCCTTTTCAGGCCATGTTAAAAGTCTAAATGCAGCTTCCCTCTTCTTTTCCAGCTAAAGGTGTCTCAAATCTGGCTATACTTCTGAATCGCCCTGGGGGTGTTTTAAATAACACTGCACAAGCCCCACCTTATACCAATGAAATCTGTATTTCTAAGATATCTCAGGTTTTTAATAGTCCCATTTGAGAGTCACTCCAAAAGGTGGGGAGGTCATTAAGACCACACATTTCTGTACTTCTACTAGTATCCTAGTTTGAGCTGAAGGCACAGAATGGCTTTAGATCTTTAGGGGGGAGAGGTTTTGTCATACATACACATAGGTACTCCCCTGCTACCCCTTTCTAAATTATAGGTCAGGAGTTAAGACGTGTTTCAAATAAAGCTTAGTTGGAGATTATGTAAGACACCATTGAAGGTCCAATCATTTTATGTACCACTATAAAAAAATATGGTAACTAAACCATCATGTGGCATTAACTAGGGTATTACGATCAATGAAATATAGTATATATGCTGCATTAGCCAAAGTGCTTCAGCAGTAGTAGTATGTACAGGGCTTGAGTTAAATTGTCTTGCCAAGTTCTCTTTTGACCACTTCACTATGTACGTTTTAAAAGTTAACTGCCTGACTTCAATTTGTGCATATATAGAATGATGTTCCTTAATTTTGTAGTAGTTTGAGGATGGGATTTTACAGGTTATTTCTCTAGTGCTAACAATATACAGGGCAGGGTATATCTAGAAAGTCTGCTGAGGAGGGAGGCAGAACTGTGAACAGGAAATTGCTAAAGCTTTATTCATTGCATATATATATATATAATTTTTTTTTTTTTTTTTTTTTTTTGAGACTGAGTCTTGCTCTATCACGAGGCTGGAGTGCAGTGGTGCAATCTTGGTTGACCGCAACCACCCCTTCTGGGTTCAAGCAATTCTCTAGCCTCAGCCTCTGGAGTAGCTGGGACTACAGGCGCCTGCCAGCATGCCCAGCTAATTTTTGTATTTTAGTAGAGGTGGCATTTCACGTTGGCCAGGCTGGTCTCGAACTCCTGACCTCAGGTGATCCACTGCCTAGGCCTCCCAAAGTGCTGGGATTACAGGCGTGAACCATCACGCCCAGCTTCATTACACATACATTTTAAGGGGCATGTTGCTGGCCTCTTCATTAGTACTTTCTCCCTCAGAACCTTTAATGGCTTAAGTAGGTTCTCAGGTCAGCCTCAAAGTTGATACCAAATGTGGTCGGCAGTTTTCAGACTTGAAAAACCTAGCATACAAGAACATATTTCAGTTAACCCGGGCTTTGCATCATATGGGATTCTTGAATTCACTATCCATCACTTCCTATTGTCTCTTGAATCCCAAACTCCCGGTCCTTTGTCATAGGACGTTATCACGTCCATCTTAAAGCCCTGCTCTGCCTTTTCCCCACGTTTTACTTGCTAAGGCCTCTAGCCTATACTGGCTGAAACGGTTTTGAAATGCTTGGTGGTGATGTATCATCTAGGATCAGCACCATCAGTGTTTCCAAGTACTGGGCTGGTGAGACTAATGTAATAAACTGAATGATGAAACATAGTATAAGAAATAAAGCATCTACTATTATAGCATTAGAAGCTGTACAAATTCTGCAAGATTTAAAAATTATATACCTTAAACAATGTAACAGAAAAAAGTCAAATGACAATTTTAATAGACTTTAAAACAGTGTACAAGTAAAAAACACTGGTTTTGTATTTCAAAAGTTGAGGGAAGATATCCAGTCATTTAACAGTCTACAAAACATAGGCCAGTAGATTACATAAAAGACTATGTACAATATAAAAAGAGCTGAAAACAGTCTTCACTGTAAAAATAATTTAAAACAAACTTTTCAATTTAAAATATCATCTATAGCACAAACACACCATGCAAATGGAAAACTAAATATACTGCATTCTTTAGTGTAGCCAAATAAATTCAGATTGAGACATCTTTTAGGTAGGGAAATGGCCATTCAGTACGATTTTTTTTCCTCTGGCAGTAATGGTCTTAGCCAGGTTATTTTATGCATAAAGAACAGCTATATTTCAAACCCTTTTTATTGTAATAAATACTAAAGCAACATAGGAATACTCTATTAATTTAGGAGTAATGTTCAAAAATGGTCTGAAAAATAAATGGTTACTGTGCAATTTCATAAAGTATGAACTTACTAGAAGCTTTTGCAGCTGAGAAAGTTGATCTCTAGTTTTAAGGCAAGCTAAGCTTTTAAATAAAGATAAATTATAAGAACTAGTTTCATTCATTAACTACTCTGCTATTACATCATGTTCATTTCCATAATACTAGGCTAGCCGTTTGGTATTGAACACCAAATCCTCCCAACGGGAGACATGTACTTTCTGGCTGAGTTATAATTAACATCTTATTACTTTGGAACTGTCATCAGGAGCCTGTTGCTCTCCTCATTAATGGAAAACAGCAGTCCAAAATATTACACTCTCCCCACTAGAAGTACCATTATTATAGATTCAGAAAGGCTTTGCATATTCACATTTTGGCAGTTTAATACTTGTGGAAAAGATCAATGCAAGCTCTACCACAGTGATAGGTATTTAAACAATTGCAAATATTTCAAAACTAAGGGGATCCAGGCAGGCACTATTGTTTCTAAAGCAACTGAAACATTTCCAAAGCATTTATTTGTTTTTCAGGTTAGTTCTATGAGCCAATATAGACATTA